AAACTCCCGGCCCGCCGCCGCGCCGCAGCCCGGCCAGGCCCGAGCCCCGGTCCCCTCCCGCCCTCGGGATCTGCTGGGGGGCTCCCGAGCAGCCCCAACTCCCTCCAGTGCAACAGCAGTTTGCAGGGGTGGGGGTGGAAAGAAGGCAGGAGCGAGGAGGAAGCACTGCAATGGGGGAGCGAGTGGTCCAGGCAACAGGAGAAGATGCAAGCTCAAGTCGAATGCAACATGCAATCCCCGGCCACCCCGCCCCCTTTGCAAATAACTACCCTTGAACCACTTTATTAGCCGTACAGAGTCCCACACTAGCTCCGGGGAGGGGCGGGGGACGGGGTCCTTCGCTCACCTTTATTTATTGCTGCTTTCTGCCCCCCTCTCCATGTTTTTTATTCCTAAGTTCTTTTGTTCTAAGGGGGATGATGGCATTTACTTTTCTGCTTTGTGTAGCAGGGCAATCACTGGGAATCGGCCACGTATAATCCGGCGGTTTGTCATATTTTATTAGTGAAAGTATTTTATGCCTAGTCCACCTCCAAGGATCTGTAACATGGAGACCTGCAGGGGGGTGGGCGACATCACAAGAATTCTTGTTTTCAGAGATTTCTTGGCGGGGCGGGGAGGGCCTCTTTTTTTTTTTTTTTTTTTTTTTAATCTTTGAGGAGGTTCATTTAAATTATTAAATCGATAGTTTTCAACTTAAAGCTTAATGCTTTTGCACGGGTGAATTGTTGGGTTGTAAAATAACCCCTAACCACAATTTAAAAAAAAAAAAAAAAAGTAAAATATCCTAGCTCTTAAAAAAAAATCCCATCTGGACACTGATCTCTGTTCTGAGCTGCATGCTGGACTTAACGTAGTGTTAGCCTTCCTATGTTAAATAACAATAAACCTCAACCTCAACGGAATACAAATGGGGGCTGGGGGTGGTTTTGTTTTTAAGGCTCAGCACTTTTGTAGCATCTGCCACTACGCATTTTCCAGGCATTGATTAACCATGCAACTCCCATAGGCATGAAGTCCAGTTTTTGCAGATGAAGAGCAACAGTGAGATGATTCGCCCAAAGTCAAAGTGAGTCATTGGCAGAACCAGGAAGAGCCTTGGACTTGATTTGTTACTAGTCACATCTTTTCCATTAAATAATATGTTCGCCAAGAAATAGTATTTAAAAATAAGCGCACATTCTTTATCTTACCAGAGGGGCTCTGAGATCACTGGATATGAAGAGATTTTCTTCTGTGAGCTGCAAAATTTAAATTTAGCTTCTCAAGAGAAAGCATTTTTAAAAACTGATTTCTTAAAAGTAAAAAAAAAAAAGGACTTTATTTTACATGTATAGGGTCACTAAGTAGTAGTTGTATGTTAAAAGGAGATCACAGCAGAAAGTGGAGGAGTTAGAGTAAAAATGAAAGTACCTATTAATGATTCAGGAAGCCTGGATGAACTCATAGTGTGGAACTCAACCTATAATACAGTCAAGAAAAACTAGAGGGACAAGTTGTGCGTTCAGACGCGCTTCAGCACTTAGATACCCAGCGTCCTAAGATGGTGGCTTTGGAGCCCTACCAGCGGCCACTGGAACAGTAATCCAAAGGTGTCATTTCAAATCATCTCAAAATGGAAGATGTCAACATTTTTCCCCCCAGAGGAAGGCAGCCTTAGTGTTCTTTTTGGGAGAAAAAAACTTTCTTATTTTTCCAGAAACATGGGGTAGGGTGGGGGTGGGGTTGGCTCATGTTCGAATTGGGCATGAATGTGTAAACCCTATATAGCAGATCAGCAAATTTTCTGTGAAAGTCCAGATTGTAAATATCTTAGTTGGTTTTTTTTTTTTGTACCTAAGTCAATTGAGAGCTTCTCAACTCTTCTGTTCCTGTAACAAAATCCACCACAGACTACATGTAAACCAATGTGTCTAAGTGAGTGTTCTAATAAAGTTTTATTTGTGCACATTGACATTTGACTTGCATATGCTTTTCATATTATGAAATGTGTTTTGTTTTTAACTTTTTTCAACTTCTAAAAAAGCAAAAAACAATTTTTTTTTAATTTTAGCTTTCTTGGGACATCCCAGAGCCAAGCACTGGGAGGGTAGGATGTAGCAGCTGTCCTTTGTGCTTGAGGGTTCAGATTGAGTAGTCATTGAACTTCCAGCAGGGAGTGTTCGCACAGCAATTAGAAATCAGAATTGTAAAATAACAGATATTTACACATCAATTTCTTTTTTTGTCATTGTTTTGATTCCTAGGCTTGGGATTATTTTGGGGTGTTGGTTTGTTTTGTTTTGTTTTGTGGCAAGGTTTTATGCTGTGGCCCAAGCTGGTTTAAAACTCACAATGTAGCCCAGGTTAGCCTCCACCTGCTTCAGCCTCCTGAGTGCTAGAATGACAGATCCGAGCCATCACTCCTGGTTTCAAATGTTTTAGCTATGTAATGTCTAACATTCTTGAGGCTCTCAACATTTATGGAGAAGAACATTCTACCCTGTGATTCCTTGACAGGCAATCTTTCCGTTCTATACTCAGTAAAGTATAATGGGATTGTGCGAGCCTGGATTCTGGTACCTAAGAACTTATGTCTCTTTTTCGACTAAGCTACTTTGGACAAATTATTTCACTCCCCCTACCAGCACCTCAGTAGTCCTCATGTACAGTGAAGG